CGAGAGGGAGAGAGAGAGAGAGAGAAAGAAAGAGAGAGAGAGAGAGAGAGACAGAGAGAGAGAGAGACAGAGAGACAGAGACAGATACGTCGCATCTGGAAATGAGTAAGCTGTGTATCTGTGTCGATGTCTGGAAGGCTGAAATCTGGGAGCCATAATCAATACAAATAGACCGAGAGATATTTAGACTCCTACGGTTACAAAAATAACTCCAGAGAAATAGAAATGTGTACAAAAAGAACCCCCCCCCTCCCCTCGAGGGTCTCTGCTCTGCAGCCCCATCGAAAGGTACAAAATTAGCCTTCGTGTGATGACGTAGGTAAAGACTTCGCCAAACTCAGTCTGCATGGCTCCATTTACTTTGTCCAGAATGAAAGATTTTAAAACTTGAAAAGATGAAGACTCGAACATATCAGTATATCTTGCGACGAAAATGATAATGAGGTATATCTAAAGTTTTACAACATAAAAAATGTAATCAATTGCATTAATTTACAAAATTGCTACTCCTCGAAAGCGCTTTGATCAACCTCAAGTGTTAATTACTCCTCGATTAATATTATAAGCACTCTCTTTCATGTAATGTCGCTTCACTTGCGACACCTCCTCTTATATTATTATTATTATAACCTCTTTGGGAACATAGAGATGAAGATATATTTTGGGAAAGAAAATTAATGGAGCAACTGCATCATTTAAAAAAATCGCCAAACAACGCACCCCGTGTGAGTCAGAATGAACTCATGGCCCCTAGCACACAAGAATGTGTCCCAAGATGTACTATTTATGGAGTTTGGAGCAAACACTGTAAATATCCTTCCTCCCACGCAAGCGAACTGCTGTGCTACATGTTCAGAAATCTGAGGATTTAAACTTTTCGTCTTCTTTCCCTGCAATGTCTTTGATAAGCTCATATCTATTTCCGTTGCAACTGAGGACAGAAATGAGATTTTTAAAAATACGAAGTCCCTGGGGATTTTTTAAAAAGCTGAAGAATACTTCCTGTGCCGAGGGTTTCCCCTTACGGGAAATTTAATTTCTCTTTACCTTGTTTGTTTATGTTTGGTGATATATCCCGAGTGGCTTAGCTAGGGCATGCAGGTAACTCATGGCAAGTGGTACAGGCATGTTGAGAAGAGAGAGAGAGAGAGAGAGAGAGAGAGAGAGAGAGAGAGAGAGATAGAGAGAAATAGAAAAATAGAGAGAGAGAGAAAGAGAGAGTGTGAGAGAGAGACAGACAGACAGAGAGAGAGA